ATTAGACTGCATTGCTCTCAACTGCCCATTTTTCACTCTAAAAAACAAACGATCATTGAAAGGTTATTTTCTAATTATAGACAGAATTCATGCTCATTGTTGAGAATTTATAAAATGCAAAAGCAATAGAAAGAAGAAAATAAAATCACCCAAATCCCATCTTCTAGAGATAATAACTTTTAAACATTTTGTTCCTTAGCAGTTCTTTCCAATACTATTCATGCACATATAATAAATATATCAAAACCACCCGCCCTCATAAAAAAGAAACCGTAAAGAACATGAAGAGGTTAGGCACAGAGTTGAGGAACATTTCATAACCAATGAAAAGGCTCTAATACAGAATTTATAAAGAACTATATGTTATTCTATTTGTATACCACAATTTATCTGTTCAGTTTCTTTATCTTTTCTGTTACTGAAGGACCTTTGGATTTTTTCTGGTTTTGGCTATTACAAATATTGCTGTTATGAACATTCATGTGTGTGTGGGGGGGGGTAGATAAACATTTATTTTGTATATTTATCTGTCTAATCTCTATATCCTGGTGCACATATGCTTGCATATCTGAGGGTTATATAGGAAGGGAATTACTAGGATTAAAATTTCTATATCATAGGGTATTCATATTTCCAACTTTAGTAGATAATGCTAAACTGTTTTCCCAAGAGAATGAATGAACCACAGCTACATGTTACAACTTGGATAAATTTCACAAACATAATATTGAGCAAAAGAAACAAGACAAAAAAATTACATACCATATGATTCCGTTTATATTAAATTAGAAACAGACAAAAATTAAACTATATTGTTTAGAATGGATACATAGGTAGTAAAACTGTAAAGAAAACCAAGAAGGTGGCTATCACAAAAGTCAGGATAATGGGGAACTCCGGGAGAAAGGAGAGGTTGTTATGGGAAAGTGACATACAAGTGCTTTCTGAGGTCCTGGTGATGTTCTGTTTCTTTTTGATGTGTAGGATTGTTAGTTTTCTTTGTGGTTACCTTAATATTTACCCCTGTTTTTCTGAGTTTAAACCAATCTTTTATTTCTTTGTATCGCTTTGATTTCCTCTCCATGTGAAAGATCTACGACTACATTTTTTTAGTCCTTTTTTGTTTTAATGTTGTCCTCGTTTACATATTGACATCTCTGTTTCCCTATTTAGTGTTTTAGTTTTGATTTATTTTTGTGACTTCCCTATCTGGGTTGATATCTGGTTGCTCTGTCCTATATTCTAGTCTTGGATTGTTATCTGATGTTATTGATTTTTCTAACCGGAGGGCTCCTTTTAGTATTTCTTGTAATTTTGTTTTTGTTTTTGCAAATTCCCTGAACTTCTATTTATCTGGAAATGCCCAATTTCACCATCATATTTGAGAGACAGTTTTGCTGGATATATAATTCTTGGCTGGCAATTTTTTTCCTTCAAGGCTTTATATATGTCATCCTATTGCCGTCTTGCCTGCATGATTTCTGCTGCGTAGTCTGAGCTTAGTCTTATTGACTCTCCTTTGTAGATGACTTTTTGTTTATCCCTAGCTGCTCTTAAAATTCTCTCTTTATCTTTGGTTTTGGTGTTTCAATATAATATGTCTTGGTGACTTTCTTTTGGGATCTACCTTGTGTGAGATTTGATGAGCATCTTAGATAGTTATCTTCTCATATTTCACGGTATCAGGGAAGCTTTCTGCCAACAAATCTTCAACAATTCTCTCTGTATTTTCTGTTATCCCCCCTGTTCTGGTACTCCAGTTGCTCGTAGGTTATTCCTGTTGATAGAATCCCACATAATTCTTCGGATTTCTTCATTTTTTAAAATTCTTTTATCTGATTTTTCCTGAAATAAGTTAGTGTCAAGTGCTTTATCTTCAGTCTCACTAATTCTGACTTCCATTGCCTCAGTTCTGCTCCTGTGACTTTCTGTTGAGTTGTCTAATTCTGAAATTTTATTGTTAATCTTCTGGATTTCTGATTGCTGTCTGTCTATGGATTCTTGCAGCCTGTTAAATTTGTCGTTATGCTGTTCTCTGATTTTCTTAAGTTCCTCTATTGCTTTGTCTTTGTGTTCCTCGGCTTGTTCTACATTTTGCCTGATCTCCTTCGTGATATCTTGAAGAGTTCTGTATATTAATTTTTTGTATTCTACCTCCAGTAATTCCAGAAAGTTCTCTTCCTCCAGAAGATTTCTTGATTCTTTGTTTTGGGAGCTTGCCGAAGCCATCGTGGTCTGCCTCTTTATGTGATTTGATGTTGACTGTTGTCTGCGAGCCATCAACAAGTTATTATATTTATTTATTTTATATTTGTTTACTGTGCCCTAGTTTCTTGTTTTGTTTTGATATGCCCAAATAGGCTGCTCATGTGAGCTAGTTTGATTATTGGTGCCTTTGAAGCTCTAACGTCCTGTCACCAGGTGGTTAGATCTGTTACTAGGTATGTGAGCCCAGGAATCTGTTTACTTTTCTTGTATGGATTCAGGTCAGGTGTCCAGGTAGTCGGTCACCAAGTGTGTGGTGTTGGCTTTCACCTACAGTCCTAGATGGGCAGAGGTGATTGGACTAGGCACAGGTATCTGGCTGCAGTAACGGGTCATGCGCTGGGCAAGGCAGGGGGCTAACGGCTGCCCCTGAGTGTCTGGGAGGAAAGCGTGTCCCTGTTCCCTAGAGTGCGTAGTTGGGTGGGTTTGCAGCCGGACTATGGGCACCCGGTGCTGTTGGCTGTAAGGACTGGGAGGCACCACTTATTCTTAGACCCCTGTCACAGGTGTCTAGGTGGCATGGGTGGAGCCACCAGTCCTCAGGCCCCTGATGTGGGTAGGTGAGGACCCTGCTTAATGGGCAGAGCGGTGTCAAATGTCACGAACTTGCCATTCCGCCATATAGCTGATACAGTTGAAGTTAGGCTTCAGGTATAAACCCTATTGTATTGTGCTAATGAGGGCCTACACTGTTGAAATGGGCCCACAGAGGTCTGTGCAGGGGTGAAAGGCATTCAGAGTCCTTGGACCCCTTATGCCTGTGCCTAGGCAAAGGAGCTGTACCTGCCCTGAGTTCCTGGCTTAGGGTAGTTGGCAGATTATTTTTTCCTGTTTGTTAATTTGTTCCCTCTCCAAGGCTGGGAGAATGGCTCAGGGCACATGAAGGGTCCTACTTCCGGCCCACGGAACATGGTAATCGCTGAAGCCGGCCTGGGACCGGTGCAGAGCGAGGAGGAGGCAGGTAAATCGGAGAGAGGTTCTTCCCAAACGGGGTGTTTTTTGATCCGCACGGTGGGTTAGGTGCATATACTTATCTTTTGCCGTTTGAGTGCCACTTTTCACTGGTTCTGGAGGCTTGAGTAGACTGTCTGCCACTTGGTCTCTCCTGATACGGAAAATGCGTCCCGAACGCCACTGCTTGACTCATCGTTCACACCAGCCAATCTGGCCTGCAGGATGCCAGTTCCTGCTGGCTCACGTCTGGCAACTCCTTGCTGCTTCCAAACCATCTTTCCCTCCCCCTGCTGCTCAGTCTGATTCCTCAAGTTTGCCTTTGATGTTCAGGGCTCCTAGATTGTCATGTATAATCAATTCACTTGTTTTTTTGGGTCTTTGTTGTAAGAGGAACCAAGGAAGCATCTGCTTACTCCACAGTCTTGGCACTGCCTCCAATGTTCTGTTTCTTGATTAGTATTTTGGTTACATTGGAGTTCACTTTATAATAATTCATTAAAATTACATTTATGTTTTATGCACTTATTTATGTATGCTATTTCACAATAAAAAGACATAATGAAGCCTGAGAATTGATTTTCATGAATACAATTTAAGATACCCTTAGACAATTTTATTTTTCCCATTTAAGTTTAAATATAATAGAAAGAGTATTAAGAGAAACACAGGAAAGTTCTTCTTTTAACCTAAATGCTCATACTTGTGTCTTTTTATAAGGTTTGTCACCATGGTACACAGATAAAATAATGAAGATGCCATTTTAGCAAAAAATAAAGATTTCAGAACTAATTTTCCTTTTTTTGTATTCTCAGCTGCAGATTAAAAATTCTTTTGGGGCTTGTCATATAATACTGCTGTGGGGCAAAATCCAAAGTATTTTCCTCTGTCATATTTCCAGAATGGTGGTGCTACCTTGAAGAACAGGAATGTGTCAAAGTAACAAGAACATATACTTTGGTTAGACAGTTATTTCTTTTCATTAGTTTGAAAAAATGCTTTGGAGATTTTCCCCAGGGTTCCAACAAGTTTATGTGAAAAATAAACACGAAACTACTTAACAACTTTGCATTTTCCTAGTCTCTAGTGGAATAGGAATAGTGTCACTGGAAGAAATGAAAATATACAATTTAAATAACATTAAAATTCTGGGCATATTCTTGCATCCATAATAAATCTACATATGTTATTGTTTTCAACTCTTCAGAAACGGATCTAAATTCATTCTATTTGGCATTCTTAGTGATACCTCTTGTCATTGTTAACATCTCGTGCAAAACTCCCAAAAGGGGTAACAGGACTGCTCAAAGTGAATGTGGACATTTGGGATGTTGGCAGCATCTGGGTCTCCCCACAGTCCTTCTAGCAGTCCCTTTTGACTGAAGAAAGCAGTAGAGCTGGACTTTTTGGTATCGGGGACAGTTTCCTGAATCAGCAACACAGTCTCCTTCAGTTCCTTTCCAAAATCTGACCCATTTCTAGTGCCACTGGTCTGAGTTTCTAAAACCATTGAACATTCTTATAATTCGTGAGAAGTATAGCACTTACCTAATTTAGATAATGGTCATGTGAATTTTTTTCTCTCTGGTCTCTTTTGATGCTACAATGGTGATGAAAGAATGAAACAAGAAATATAATTCCCCCATAGCTAATTAATTTTTTCATCTGTGTGTATTTGGGTTAGAGACAAACGAGAGTAACTATCTTTATGCTTAGTGGAATTGCTCATCACTGTTTCATATCTTCCACTTTTAACTTTATAATTCTGCCTTATTTTAATGCAGGTACAGCCTGACTATTTGGACTGGAAAAGATGATAACTATTCCATTGAAGATTTACTTTGCATTAGAGACCATTTTGACAAAAGCCAAGTTTTCTATGACATCTTGGAACCACAAAACTATGAATTTAAACAAGCCATTGGAATCAAAGTTAATCTCTAAGAAGAAGGGTCTTATAAATTATTTCACGTCTTGATTTTGTAAGCCTTCTTTGCTTTGATCTGAATCAATTACTGTATAAATTGATCATTGATTTGTGCTCCAATTCAGCCAGTCAAAAAAAAAACACTTATTGAGTGCTTACTCTATTAAGAATATGTCCCTATAATACTACACTTACCTAAAAGATTTGCAAAGAAGAGATTTCAGTCTAATATATAATCAATTATTAACCTAGTAGTTAATAACTTAGTAAGTTAATTATTAATATAATAAGTCAGAGAAAGTCTAACAATAAGCTAGGAAAAGGATGCTCTGAAACCTTTATAAAAAGTAATTTTGATCTACTGAAGAGGATTGAAAGAACCCACATGTGTTATAGTAGCACGGGCATAAATTACTTTTGTTAGCACTTGCATTACAGAGGTGCCACAAAATGTGGCATATGCTTTCCCTTCTTCTAGAAAACTGGTTATTTCAAAAGAGTAACAGGGCTTAAAAATACTTTAAACTTTCACAAGGGTGAGCAGCTTTCTCATACAAACATCAAATCCATTTACTGAAAACGATATAGATTAAAGTGGATGGATCTAGAATTTCCATATTATTGCGAAGCATACTAGCAGCAGTATATGTTTTTGTATTCTTTGTTTCTATTATAGCATCTTATTTACAGTGAGCAAAATACTACTGGAGAGCAGAGCTTTAATCCTTGTATTATATCATTTGTTTTCCAAGTTTCTCACCAGCATCGCCATAATCCAGCACCGTGTTCTCCTACTAGAATTTCATGAGCTACCCCTTCATGACTTCATCTCTCACACTACTCAGAGACACCCTGAGTATTTCTGTTAAACAAAACTTTCTTAAACACCTCTTTATGCCAAATCAAAAACCTGTAGGGGCTTCCTAAATTTTATTGAATTTTCCTCTTTAAAGACCCTCTATAATGTGGTCCCACCCTAAAAGTGAACTCTGTGTCCTCCAACACAGTCCCTCATTTCAAGAATGCCTATAACATCAATGATTTGTAGATCTAACAGTTAATTTTAACTATCTGATATTGTTCACTAATGGTGCCATGTATGTTATGTCTCCTAAGCTAGATTAAAGTATCTAAAGTATTAAGTATCTTTTTCAGGGCCTGGCATAGTCCTGAGCAAGGCATTCAGAAAAAAACATATTGCTTCTTTGATTTACTGAGAATGTAATTTACCAATGATTGTCCTAAGACATGTAATTTGTCATTTGTTAATCAGCCATTTTTCTCCAAGAATGAAGTGTTTCTGTGTAGAGAAAAGAGCATGGGTTTTGAGGTCAGACAGACTTGGCTTTATAGCCCCACCTTTGTTCCTTACTAATTCTAGACTTTGGGAAATATTTAACCTCACTGAGTCTTGGTTTCCTCACCTGAAAAATGAGGGGGAAATGAGAATTCTCTTGTAGGCTTCTTGTGAGGATTGAGATCATGTCATAGAAGCAAGCATCTAGTTCAATGCCCATCATGTACTATGTGCTCAACAGATAGAGTTAGTTCTCCTTCTTTTGTACTTACCATGTCCATGTCTACTGATAGATAAGACAGGCAGGCAGGCAGACAGATAGATAGACAAACAGTTAAGGGATATAACATGAAACATTTAGACATATAAATACTTGAAGACAATGACAATATTTCCACTTTAAATTTTAGCTTCAGCTGAATGCAGTATCAAATAATACCTAAAACTTTACTTTCTGTAGTTGTTTGCCAGAGGCAAAAGGTGCAATTTCGTAACTATAAGAACATAATTTTAACAAAGAATAACTTAAAAATATAGTAAAAAATAATGTTTAATATATAAATTTTCTACAGTGACCATGCATTACTTTTGTAAAGACTTGAATTTATAAATGAATTGCATTTTGATGACGTTTTAAATACAATTTATTTGTTCAGAAGATTATTTTTACTATTTAATTATTTGACGCTTGATAATATTTAAAATATTACTGTTACAGCAAACTTCTTTTATAATGAGAAATCTGTCAACCGAGTGTCACTAAGATTAAGGTTTGTAAGTATATTTTAAAGTGTTTTCAGGAACAAAGAGAATTGTAACAAGTATTCTGTTGAAAAGTAAATTTTTAATGGATACCTGTCTTAGTTATCTAGTGCTGCTGTAATGAATACCACAAGTGGATGGCTTTAACAAACAGAAATTTATTTTCTTACAGTTTAGGAGGCTAGAAGTCCAAATTCAGAGCACCAGATCTAGGAAAAGACTTTCTGTCTCTGTCAGCTCTGGAGGAAGGTCCTTGTCTCTTTTGAGCCTCTGCTCCTGGGTGATCTTCATGTGTCTTGGCATCTCTTTTTCCCAGTCTCTGCTTCTTTCACTTGCTTGTTTAATCTCTTTTATACAGGCAGTCCCCAGATTATGAACAAATTCCATTCCTAAATCTGTCCGTAAGTCGAATTTGTATGTAAGTCGGAACAGTTAAGTACAGTTCGTATCTAATCTGAGTTAGTCAAATGTTTGTCTTAGTATATAGTATATAGTATATACTGTACCTTTCTCTGCATAAAAAACATTAAAGAAGTGCTTCCAGATACACTAAAACATCTTTAACATAATACAGAAATAATGATAATATTTTATGTGCGTTGCAAAGTAGCGCCTGTTCATCATTACAAACCATTGTATGTACCTTCTCCACAGTTGAAGGGATACCTACAGGGCAAACGTTACCCAAAATACTCAAAAGATTCTGTTCTGTAATCTTTGAAACAAATTAGATACTTTATTGTAGACTCTGAACTTAAAAAATCTATGTTGTACCACTGGGCCACATTTCTGCTGGGTTTTGAACCCTCCTCATCAGAGGCAGAGAAGGTTGGGGGCATGGATAGGATGGTGCCAGGGATGGATTATTCAATAAGCAAGATACACATGGGCTTACTTGCTTACTTACAGTACACAATTTGACCTGTTTTTCCCCACATCAAGTAAGCCCGTACATGCCTTGCTTAATGTAAGCTGGAGTGTACCTTGCTTGCTGGTTAATCCTCCCCTGCATGGTGCTGGGGTCAGATCATACCCCCATCACCTCCTCACCAGACCTGTCAACCCCATGCACCAACTGTGAGGCCCCTGCTTCAGGGTGCAGGGGAGAAAGTCCTACTCAGGATGTGCTAAGAATGAGCCCAGGGCCCAAGGATTGGGAAAAGGGCACATAAGGAAACCCAAGTCTGAAGTTCTCCACAGATCCCTGGAAACCATGTGGACATACAGAGGTTAGAAATCTAAGACTGCCCCCCACTCCTTACAGCCACCAAAAGGCCAAGAACCACTGCAAAAGTGAAATCCCTCATGCGTAAAGTAGGGGAAACAGAAGCCCAGAGAGGTGCAATGGCCCCGGGCTACACAGCACAGAGGGCCCGGCGGGATGGGGTAGGGTGGAGCTGGGTAAGGGCGCACCACTGAGGCCCAGCTGTGTGCCCAGCCCAGCACACTGACCAGTTGTACTCGGAGAACACATAGCACCTGCACCCCGGCTGCCAGCCGCCGGCTGCCACCACCTGCAGGCCTGCCATGCGGAACACAGCCACAGTGTTTAGGGCACACAGACAGTGGGGCCTGCCTTTTCTGAGTTCCAAGGGAGGCAGGTACATATGGGCTCTCCACTCGGCTGTGGACCAAGGCTGGGCACACCATGCCATGGGACTCACCCACCTCCAGCAGCTACCTAAAGACCCACTGCAGCACTGGCGCATGCGGGAGAAGCACAGCCAGTTGTGGGATCCCAGGGGCCCAAACACCAAATCATCTTTTTCCTGATAGGCTTTATGGGGGATTGGTTCGTAACTACGATTGTACATAGTCGGTTGTACGTAAGTCATAGGTTCACAATCCAAGGACTGTCTGTATCTCAAAAGAGATTGACTCAAAACACACCCTCGGCTAATTCTGTGTCATTAACATAACAAAGACAACCCATTCCCAAATGAGATTATAACCACAGGCATAGAGGTTAGAATTTACAGCACATATTTTGGGGGGACACAATTCAATCCAAAACATTCCACCTTTTGGCCCCCCAAAATCCATGCCCTTGCCATATGCAAAACACATTCACCCCATCAAATCATCCCAAAAGTCTTAACTCCAAGTCCAAATTCCTTCTTGGGGCAAAATTCCTCTTCATCCATGAACCTGGCTATCTAGAATACAAATTATCTGCTTCAAAAGTACAATGGTGGAACAGGCACAAGGTAGACAGTTCCATTACAAATGGGAGAAATTGGAGGGAAATAAGAGATAACAGGCACCAAGCAAGTCCAAAACCCAGCAGAACAATTTTACATTGGCTCTCAAGTCTTGAAAATAATTCTCTGTTCTCTGAGACCATCTGGGCAATGGCCCCACCCTCCAGACCCTGGGTGTTGGCCACACCCTCTGGATTCTGGGTGAAAGCCTTTTGGCCCTGGGCTTCATCTCCACCTTCCAGGCCTTCTGGGGTGACAATTCTGTTCCCTCACCTTTAGGCAACCCCATTCTCCTAGTCCATCTGAGTGGCAACCCCACTCCGTTGGCCCCGGCGGGTGCCGTTCTTCTGTCCCTTGCGCATGGCAGCCCTGACCCCTCAGCTTTGGGCAGTGGCTCCGTCCCCCTGGCACACCTTAACAACAGTCCCACACTCCAGAACCAAGTTGGCAAAGATCAGACTCTTCGAAACCTAGGTGGCTGTGGCCCCACCCTTTGAAACCGAGAAAGCCCTATTTCCCGTTCTCCTTCCAACAATTCTGCTGATCTCTGAGATGCTCCAGGGATGGTCCTTTTCTTGGAGGACAACAGATGTAGCTCCTTGGCCTGTTTCCTACCTGTAGAATTCCAAGATGCAGATAGCATTCTTTCCTTCCGTTCTTTCTCTGTCCCCTTCAGTCTAAGCTGATGAACTTTCTGCTGTGATAGTTGGTTAGATACATCAGTCACAGGCTTAATCTCTTTAACAAAAGTATGTGTTCAACAGAATTTCCCAAATCTTTTAAGTTCTGTTTTCATTTTGTACAGTTGATTTTTAAGTCCATCTCTTTCTGCTCACATTTTACTATAAGTGACAGAGAGAAACCATGTGGCCCCTTTAAGATCTGGCTTAGAAATTTTCTCAGCCAGATATCCAGGTTCATCATTTACAACTTCTACCTTCCACCAAATATTTGAACATAATTCAGAGAAGTTCTTTGCTACTGCATAAAAAGCATTCCCCTTCCTCCATTGTCCGATCACATGTTCATCATTTCCTTTTAAAGCCTCACCAGAAGCACATTTAACATCCACGTTTCTAGCAACATTCTGTTGCTGGTGCCATATATACATATTGTCTCTAAGACAATAGAGACTTCCTCTGTAGCTCCCCTCAATTCCTTCTGAGCCCTCACCAGAATTGCCTTTGCTGTCCATAATTCTACCAACAGTCTCTTCAAGGCAATCTAGGCTTTTATTATCAAGCACCTTAAAGCTTCTAGCTTCCACCCATTACCCAATTCCAAAACCACTTCCACATTGTAGGTATTTGTTAGAGCAGCACCCCACTCGCCCAGTGTCAAATTCTGTCTTAGTTCTCTAGTGCTTCTGTAACAAATACCACAAGCGGGTGGCTTTGACAAACAAATTTATTTTCCCACAGTGTAGGAGGCTAGAAGTCTGAATTTCAGAGCACTAGCTCTAGGAGAAGGCTTTCTCTCTGTTGACTCTGGAGGAAGGTCCTTGTCTGTTTTGAGATTCTGCTCCTGGGTGATCTTCATGTGGCTTGGAATCTCTCTCCCCATCTCTGCTTCTTTTGCTTGCTTGTTTAATCTCTTTCATATCTCAAACGAGATTGATTTATGACACACCCTACACTAATCCTGTCTCATTAACATAACAAAGGCAGTTCCTTCCCAAATGAGATTATAACCATAGCCACAGAGGTTAGGATTTACAACACATTTTTTAGGGACACAATTCAATCCATAACAATATCCATATGAAAAAGAATAACCTTGTTCCCTACCTGTTGCCATACACAAATAATAATTTGAGATGGATCTTAGACCTAAATGTGAAAGCTAAAACTATAAAGCATTTAGCAGAGAATATTGAAGACTGTTTTCATGACTTTGGAGAAGGCAAAGATTACTTTTTATAATTAAAAAGCAGTTATCATAAAAGAAAAAATCTATAAGTGGCCTTTATTAAAGTTTAAATTTTTTATCAGAAGACACCATTGATACATATCTGTCAAAGGGTTCGTAATTGGAATATGTGAAGAACTTGTATAAATTGATAAGAAAAATCCAAACAACCCAATTAAAAATGGGCAAAAGACTTGAACAGACCCTTAACAAATGAAAGTATTCAGATGGCCAATAAGCATATGAAAAGATGCTCAAACATCATTACTTACCCAAGAAATGCAAATTTAAACAACAATGAGATTTCACTACACATCTACTAGAAAGGCTAATGCTGAAAGGACCGACAATACCAAGTGCTGAGGTTATGGACCAATAAGAATTCTCATGTGTTGCTGGTGAGAGTATAAAATTGTACAACCACTTTGGAAAACAGTTTAGCAGTTTCTAATAAAGGGAAATATATCTTTACCCTATGGCCCAACTATTCTACCCCTAGCCATATGCTCAGGAGAAAAGAGTTCATATGTCCACATAAAAAGATTTGTACAAGGATGTTCATAGTAGCTTTGTTCTTAATTGCCCAAAACTGGAAGCAACTCAAATTTCTATCAACCAGAAAATTGGTAAGTAAATAATGGTACATTCATACAATGGACTACTACGTGGCACCAGAAGATGTTGAACTACTGATATATGCAGTAATAAGGGTGACTATCCAAAACAAGTTGAGCAAAAGAAGCAGACACAAAAGAGTGCTTACTGTATGATGCCATTTGTATGAAGTTCAAGAATAGGCAAAACTGATCTATAGTGATAGAAGTCGGAATAGTGATTACCTCGGGTTGGTTGGATGGAATATTGACTGGGAAGGGGCATGTGTGAACTTTCTAATATGATGATATCTTGTTCTGGGGATGAGTATTTGGATGTGTACATAGGCAAAAAAAATTATTGAGTTGTACACTGTACATTTTACTGTATTTAAATT